ACCATGGGCCCAAGACCAGCTTTCAGTGGGTAGACCTCTCCTAGTCCAGACAGCAAAGCAGGCTGCTCTTACAAGAGCAAGTGTTGTGATCCAAGGGAGTATAGTGATTATAGCAATCCACAGAGTGTGAATATAGCTCCCAATCCCCTAAACATGAGCCTAGACTTCATGAATGGGTCAAGCGTTCTGTTTAATGGGAGCCACACAAGGCCTTTTATGTCAGGCCCCATGCAAAGGATTTCCTCAAACATATTCCAGGGGCATTCCCCACTGGACCTGAGAGTAGACCATAACAAAAACATACACATGATTACATTGGCTCTCAGGTCCAGGACACTTCCACACCAAATAAGATAATCCCTCCCCTGTGCCTGGGAGATAATTGAGTCAGGAACTATACTAAACTCAATTATTTCCAGGCACAGAAAACATACATTTTACAATACATCAAAAGTACCCCAAAAACACATGGAAACCCCACAAAAGTCATATCCAGCATATCCAAAATTCACACAGATCGGTTCAGGGGTTCGGGATTTCAATGGAAGTCATAATTTGACCGACCGCACATGAGGCACCTGCCCAAAACAGTTCCAGAGAATCAAGGCTAGTTTGGTAGTTTAAAAAATGAAAAAACTACAGAACATATTCAAGAGTCTTACCCTGGAGCTTATTCACCTTGTTCGTGGGAACGTTTTCACCCAACAGTGCCCTTCTAAGTTATGTAGAACTGAACGCAGGTGATCATGGAAGTCCATCGGTGTTCAGGAATTTCAGTGTTCGAAAACAGTTCCATGAACTCGACGAGCAAACACCGCTGCCTGCGTTCACGGGAACAATATGGCCGCCACCTCGCGGTCGTTCATGCGAACAGTGGCCACCCAGACGAACACTTCGAACACTGCAGTGGTAGTGCTACAAACTGTCAATAAGGCTTAACATGCTCCCGGGTGGTCTCTGTTTGTGCGCCTGTTCGGTTCCCAAACCAAATATAAAATACCATGAACCAAGTCTGTTTTTTAAAGGACCCATAGTCTTTTGGCAGGAGGCTGGCAAGCAGGCCCCTCCAAAAACCCATGACAAGGTTCCGTTCATCACAAATATACTTAGGCATTATATTAAATTAATAGCATGACTGCATATATCTTATTTATAAGTTTTAATAATATTGTTGTACAGATAATAGTTAGCATTGCAACATATGACAGATGCTAACAATGTTCTTTCTCTGTTCTCCCCTGTAGGTTCTGATGGTGCTTTCCACCTGCAAGAGGAGGGTACCATCATTACCCTTACAGCAGTGGATACTGGTTTCATGGAGCCGATCACATCAGTGGCCGAAGATACGCCGTCGCCACAACTTCCTCCATAGTTGGCTGCGCTGTATGAGATGATGAAGACTTGGCAAGCTCAACTGGAGACGTCCATACAGCAAGATAGGGACAATCAGCGAGAACTCTTGGAGAATGTAATAACTGAGGTATATTCAAATATATGCAGATGACACAAAAAGGTATCAAAGATCTACAATAAAAAAGAAAATGGCAAGCATAGTGTGACCTGTAAAAGTTGTAAAATAATAGGATAGGTTTGGACTATAATTTCTACTGACAGTACCTGTTATTTGGCTCTACTTCCATTTCCTTTTGTAGTGTAGAAAAACCATGCACAGGATAAAGACCATGTCACATAGTCTGCAAAAATCAGAAGATTATCAAAGTTACATGTAAAAGGGGATGATTTTGGAGCAAAGAAATATGGAAAGGGGATGAGGAGTCTTTCCAGGCAGCCGGAACAAACAGAGAAGCAATGGCTGGCTCCTAGGTAAGAGTTCCGAGGAGCACTGCCCACTGCTGATTGCTGGTTGCTGTGGTCGGAATGAATACTACACATGTGCAATTCGTTTCGAACCGGGGTCCCCCCCCGGTGGGGGCCCTAAATACTAATAGAGGGGGGGACCTATTGTCCTCCCCCCGGCCCCCACCCCTGAGCGGTGGGTGGGGGCCCTAAAAATACCAATAAGGGGGGGACCTATTGTCCCCACCCCCAGCCCCCACCCCTGAGCGGTGGGTGGGGGCCCTAAAATGAACAATAAGGGGGGGACCTATTGTCCCACCCCGGCCCCCACCCCTGAGCAGTGGGTGGGGACCTTAAAATGAACAATAAGGGGGGGACCTATTGTTCCCCCCCACCCCTGCACGGCGGGTGGGGGCCATATTGATAATGAGGGGGGGACCTACTGCCCACCCCGGCCCCCACCCCTGCGTGGCGGGTGGGGGCCATATTGATAATGAGGGGGGGGACCCTATGCCCCCCCCCCGGCCCCCACCCCTGCGCGGCGGGTGGGGGCCATATTGATAATGAGGGGGGGGGACCTACTGCCCCCCCCCGGCCCCCACCCCTGCGTGGCGGGTGGGGGCCATATTGATAATGAGGGGGGGGACCTACTTTTTACACAGCGTGGGAAAGTTCTTTGGAATTTTCCCACGCTGTGTAAAATGACACAGAGCACAGTGATTGGATGGCTTTCAAGCAATCCAATCACAGTGCCCTGTGTCATTTTACACAGCGTGGGAAAGTTCTTTTGAATTTTCCCACGCTGTGTAAAATGACAAAGAGCACTCTGATTGGCTTAAACCCACCAATCAGAGTGTTCTTAGCCTAATTGCAGGGCGTGGCAAGGCTTTAAAAGCCTTCCCCCGCCCTGCAGAGCTCAGTCTGCGCGGAGCCCTCCATTGGTGAAGATGGATTATTTTTTTGCGCTCGGGTTTTTTTTTTTTTTTTAGTTCGACGGTTATGTTGGTTTTTTATTTGGCCTTTTTTGGGGCTGAAAAATGAAGATTTGAGAAAAAAGAAGACGTCGAATGGTAAGTTTACTTTTATTTTACAGGTTAGTTATTTTATTCCCCCCTCACTATTTTATAGGGTGAGGGGGGTAGGAAGGGACTTTTTATTTGGGGGGGGTGGGTGACTAGGGGCTTGGGGACCCCTAGTCACCTTGTGGGGGGGGGGAAATTTACTTAGGGCCCCCACCCACAGCCCTGGGGTGGGGGCCGGGGGGGGGAGGACAGTAGGTCCCCCCCCCATTATGTTTTATGGCCCCCACCCGCCGCCCAGGGGTGGGGGCCAGGGGGTAGAGGACAGTAGGTCCCCCCCCATTATCTTTATGGCCCCCACCCACCACCCAGGGGTGGGGGCCGGAGGGGGGGTGGACAGTAGGTTCCATTGCCATTGGACTCTGTCGAACTCCTTCTCTGCGTCCTGGGAAAGGACCAGAGAAGACGTTTGAGATCTCTCAGCCTACCATATTAAATCGACTCGCCATGTATTTTCATATAGTTGTCTTGTGGGGACAAAGCCCACTTGGTCTGCGTAGATGCATTTGGTGAGGAGGGGATTCCAACGGGGGGCCAGTAGTTTAGCATAGACTTTCAGATCACAATTTATGAGGGATATGGGGCGGTAATTGGCTACATTTGCACTATCTCTTCCCGGCTTGGAATGAGGGTTATGTCTGCCGTCGAAAGGTCTGGGTTTGGCGTCTCTCCCTCCGTCCACTGATACATTTTGGCCAGGTTGGGTATTAGGTTTTCCCTAAAAGCCTTGTAACAAGCACCGTCAAACCTGTTGGGTCCTGGGGCTTTGTTCCCTTTTAGCCCTGTTATGGCTCATTAAACTTTGTCTAATTCGATAGGTGCAGCCAGGGGTGCAGTCAGTTCCTCTGAGAGCAGCGGGAGTTGGGCCTTGTCTTTGCTACATAAGTGCTGTTGACTCCAGTCAATGTGGGAGAGTGGCTATATACTGTGGTAAAGAATTGTGTGAATTCTGCGTTGATATCTTGGGGGTTATTAAGGACCGCTCCCTGGGGTTTTTTTATGGCAGTTATGAAAGATGTGTTGCTTTTGGGTCTTACGGCCCATGTAAGGAGTGTGTCCATTTTTTTGGACTTTTCTCTGCTCACGTCGTCTATCATCAATTCCCTGATCA